GTAAATGTAGGGGATGGCTAATATCGATTTTTCAAAAATAATGCAAATTTACTTCCTTTTTTGAAAAGTTTTTCTTTACTTGTTTTTGTTTTTTAATGCAGTGTTTCAAGACATAGGAAGGTTGTATTTATAACCAACTTCTAAATACAATGAGGTTCAAACTGTAATATACATTGTTTATCTATTATTGGCTGAAAATTCCTGTTTCACCCTTTACTTAAGTTTTTTAAAGGAACACCAAATTTCTGTAAGGCTAACATCATTTACATTAGAATTATGACTTTTTTAAATTACTTCTAGTTATTAATAACACTTACGTCATCTCAGTGAAATTGGTTGACACCATTGTTTTAGTTTTAATTATCAGGTAACAAAAGAGAAGCAGAACAAAGAACAAGAAGGTATTTAAACTTTCTGCTATGATATTTAAGGACATTTCCAGGACTTGTGACTCAGTCATTAAATTGATATTGTTATAAAAGGAAACACTGTATAGTGTTGTAAAGTTCTGATGACCTACTGAGGAGATATTTAAAATACCATTTCGATGAACAACCCAAGCCATCCCTACACAGGCAGTGTACTGCCTGTTAGATAAAACATAACACACAAATTCTACTTAGTACACCACAGTGATTAATCTGTTTGACCTAAGAACAGGAACTGTATATCACACTATTTCATAAAACATAACACACAAATTCTGCTAATACACCATAGCAATTAATATGTTTGATCAACAGACAGCCAAAAGTCTGAAAGCTCAAACTATATCTTTTTTTTGCTTAGGTTTAATCTCTACTGCTTCATATTTTATTTTGACATTGTATATTATTCAATGATCTATGATTGTTATAAGCTCTATAATTCAATTTGGTTGACCAACCAAGTTTACATTCATAATTTCATTTGTGTTGTTGGTTGTTTATTGTTAAGCACAAAGACACACAATAGTCTATTTGTGCTGTGCACACCATAGGCTTTCTTACTGCTGAGCTGCTGGATGGCCATTTGCATTGTAAACACCTTTTCTTACTAACTAAAAATAAAATCTATTAAAAAGACTGTTTCCAAAACATCCAAGTCTTATACTGAAAGCTAACCATACACATAGTGTAGAATAGTTAAAATGTAATGCTCTCTCATAAAACTTAAGGCAACCAATACTTGCATGTGGAATCTAAAACTAACATCAGTGTGGCATTTTCTTTCCTTAATGAATAATTCTGATTTCAAAATAAGACAAAAAATTTTGGTAAAGCCAACAATGAAGCAGAAGAAGCAATACCTAATTCATGATGACATGTACATGTAAACTCCAGAAAAAATACCTTTTTTGCATCATTCAGAATTATAACAATGACTGTATACGAAATAATTACATATTATGATTGCTGAAAAATTGTAATCAATAACAAATAATTAAATTTTCTATAGAACATTATAACTTGTTAAAGGTATAAAATGTTTATTACATTTTACAGTAACTTACATATCACTAGTCTGTAAAGGTTGAAGAAATTGTTTCATCAAGTTTTGGAGTTCTCGAACATGATTAGTTTCTGAATCAACAATGTCTTTAAACACCTGAAACAAGAAACATTTAAAACTTATATTTACTGGTGACCAAAACAGTTGAATACACTAGTGAAAGTTAAATTACTCCATAGAATTTCATACTTATTAATATACAAAAATATAAATGACAGTATATCAAGGAAATATTTTTGAACAGATATAAATATAACTAAACTTTAAAACATCTTTCTCTTATGTATTAATCTTGTAAAAGAAAATTTAAAAGTTAGAAATAAAAAATACTAGTTAGAGTTTAGACCTGGAATAATTAACTTTTTACATCATTCATTACTGGTGTCACATTGTATTACATTGAGTAAATCTATTGTTGTGCCCATTACAACATTCAGTGTGAAAAGAATGATCCAAAAAATTGGGTGAAATTTTTTAATGTTCTAAGTAAAATACAGAGAATACCAACATTATTTAATAAGCTTAATTGAAATATTGATATTGTTGATATTTATTAAACATGTCTTCACAATCTTGGGACTTGTTCTGTGATGTTATAAGGCCTTACTGATGTTGATATTTATTAAACATGTCTTCACAATCTTGGGACTTGTTCTATGATGTTATAAGGCCTTACTGATGTTGATATTTATTAAACATGTCTTTTGACAAATTAATGAAAAATATCTAAGTACAAGAAATAGTACATGGATTTTTTGCAGTACCATAAAAAGTGCATAAAATACACAAATTCCTTAATGTATGAGGAATACAGTCTGTATGTAGCTAACATCCACCACGAGGAACTTTCAATCTCAGGGGGGAAGAAATGATATAGAAAGAGCAAATAAATTCCCTAAATTAACCACAAGATACTGGAAAACCAAATATGTCAAATATATTTTGAAAACTACACAACCTAAGAAGGTATGGTCGAATAACACTTAAAATGCAGATGTAAGATTGCTGAAATGTAAAGACTAAGATTAGATTAACTGCAAAATTCAAGAACAGGTGTTTTGTTTGCAGTCCTTGCAAAAAAATTATCAAGGATATATATAATAACAAACTTGGACCTATGTCAAATATCAAATCCACAAATGATACACTTTTTCGTTACTGTATCAATGCAATACATGGACAGATCCAGGATTTTGGGTGAGAGGTTTGTTCTTTAATCAGGTCATGAAACCTGTTGAAAAAAATATTTTTTTCTTTATGAGGTCTTAGGGTACCTTTGTTTGGTAGTCCATCAGATCTGCTAATGCAACTCCCTTCGCCTGCATAATGCTATTAGTATTCTTTATAGAAAAAAAAAACCTTAATAATATTATCCAAAATAAATGTTATGTATACTTAAGATTTGCAGTTGTTTTCCCCCATACTTACAATGAGGTTTAACACAGTTTGCATATTTTTGTTTCCCAATGCTTTTGACATTCTGCTTTCTGCATACGCTTCATATTTTGCACTTAAGTCCAGTTTTAAAATGAAGATTAAAATAGTTTCAGTTTATGTTCGTTGGAGTAGAAAAATATGAAACACATACAAAGAGCTATGATCTTTAGATGGCTAAGATAATATAATCAAACAGAACATTATATAGGCATATAATTTAATCTAATCTACAAAGGTAGCTTAAGTTGGAGTAGAAAAATATGAAACACATACAAAGAGCTACGATCTTTAGATGGCTAAGATAATATGATCAAACAGAACATTATATAAGCATCTAATACTAATCTACAAGGTAGACTTAAGTTGGAGTAGAAAAATATGAAACACATACAAAGAGCTACGATCTTTAGATGGCTAAGACTAACTATGA